AAGCTATTAGAAACAATAAGCTAATAGCTTCTTGTTCCTACTAGTAAGGCCCTTGCTCCTAGTAGCAATGCACTTGTTACTACTAGCTTCTTGTTACTAGTAGCGAGGCACCTGTGACTACTAGCGTGGCACTTGTTATGCTCCCGAAGTCGTGGATGAAAATCATAGAGGAGGATTGCGTGATGTATGTTGACGTTCAGAAGACCTGAGCCGAAAGAGGACATGCAAAAATGCTAAAGCATAGTGTTTGAACTTCTATAAGGAATTATTCTTTCTGGTGGGGTTCTGTTTGGGAGGCTCATGGAGGTTGCTGACTCAAAAGCGTGGCAGACCGACCAAAGATGAGAATTTGATGTCCATTTGGTGCTTGAGGTGTCTAAGGAGGTTTCTGATGATTATTATTACTATTACTAATTGTGTTATTACTATATTTCCATTGAGGGTGTAGATGCTCAGATGGGGCCTATCCATGGTCAGTTGACAATGACAATGGAGCAGGGGTGCTCTTGGACGTGAGCAGTCTCACCTCCTCGCGGCAAAACGTCGGTTTGCAACACAGCTATGCTTGATGACAGCTTGGTTTTCAGGTCTACTTTGATGTGAAGATTGGTGATGATGCTGCATCTTGCTTGCACTTGGAGATTGCTCCGGATCGGCGACATCGCCTCAAGAAAAAAAACAAATACATTACTCCAAAAACAAGTAAACTGCCAAAAAGGCTGTTCTTCAGGAGTTTTTGGGAGCTCAAGAAGACTCTCCGGTCTTTCAAATCTATTTCGGGTGTCGTGCCGGAAGTGGGCCCCCGAAGGTCATCAAGCTGAGCTTTGCAAAGCGTGCGCTTTCGGGGAGGGGTTGGGGATCTTCCTAGGGAAAAGCCGGATCAGCTAGGCTAGCTGCTTAGCCCTTTTGGGAAGACATGAGCAGGTGGAAAGTGCGCTTAAACCGCAATTTCGGAAACTGAGGGCGTCAGCCTTTGACAGAAACTTGTAACACAGGACACGGAGGATCGAAGGCCCTGCTTTTTGACATACGCTTGATGCACTAAACTGTTGTTTGGACCCGGGATCCGGAGGTGCTTCATGATTGATTCGTTCGGCGGATGGCCGATCCACTCGCCGTGTTGAGGACACGAAGCGCATTACCATTGGCCTGTTTGGAAAGGACGTGCCCAAGACTGTCAGGGGCCTTTGGGTTTGCGAGACCAGTTGAAAGCATGGACAAGCCATCACTATAACTACTGAATTACATTGAGTTACTGAATTTGATGTTCTGACTCTGGACACATTGATATATGCAGGAGGCGCAAATTGCATGTGTCAGTCCCAAAAGAATGGGAGATTGCGTCCCACTTACCAATTGTGGCAGACGTTCACAAAAACTTCATGAAGCTTAACGTGGGGGTTTTGAAAGATTTGAAAGACACATGTATGTATCGGTTCAGAGCTCAGAAAGACAAAACAATAAAAGTGGAGAATTGCAAAAAGAACACTTTTTGATGCATAATGGAACCTTTCATATGCAGAACATCTTTCCTTCAACAAAGAGAGGGTATTCTATAATTTTCTTCCTTGTCAGTTCCTGTGACTTTCTCTCATATTGGACCTCTGCTCGCACTACCTTTGCTCACACCTTTTTGAGGTCATGAACTTCGCCCACTTGTGCACCGGCGACAAGGGCAAGGTGCGACCCGCGATGGGGTCATGCGAGGCGTGTTTGGCGTGTCTGGCCCGTTGGGGTGTGTGTGTGTATCAGGGTGGAGTCATTTGGTGTGAGACCGGGTGAGGCCGGCTGAGGCTGAGATGAATGTGTGAGAACTAACAGGCTGACAACTGACGAATCCAAAACGGATTCCAAAGGGCTGCTGCTTTTGCACGACCTCTTAGAGGAACTGGAGAAATCGCCTCCAACCTAAGAGCGATGGCCTCCAACCTGAAAGCAATGACCGCCTCTTGAGGACTTGATGAATGTTGCCATGAGGGAATGTTTAGGTCGTTGTGCTTGACGAGGCCTCCACTGGGGTACCTCTTCACTACAAGGCCTGGCATCACGTCGGTGTGCACCATCAGCGCCCACCGCACTATTAGACCGGCACAGTTCACCTGGGTTTCGTTTTCGTTTCAAAGTAGAATTAAAGTAGAACTAAGTCTAATAGCTTCTTGTTGCTATTCGCGATGCTCTTTGTTCCTAGAAGCGTTCTTGCTCCTAGTAGTAAGGCCAGGAGCCCCTAGTAGCGATGCCGTTCCTGACACCTGTCATGTGGCCGTGCGGGTCGCTCGGGATTCTTCCTCTCATATACCTTGGCTGAGCCAGTCTTTGGTAAACACGTGGGGATCCTTGTTAGATCTTGGTTGCCTAAGGGTTTACTGTTGGGCAGGACTCAAGATACGAACGATTCCGGACTCTCTGAACTGCCTCAGCATGTTCAGCGCCAGGGCTCGAAGTTCCACCGCATCATCCCGAATTTCATGATCCAGGCAGGACCTGCACTGGAGTTATGTGATGCTTTGGGAGTTGCATTGCAGTCCCCACCTGCAGGCATGGAAGAGACATGTTTCCCTCGCCAATCCGGTAGGGAGGTGGTGCAGGTGCTAAGGCTGCAACTTTTAGGGGTGAGACTCAGGTTTGTTGCGTACAAAAGGTAAGTTTCAATGCGTCGACTCCTGACACATTCAGGAATCAAGCGCAGGCTGCAGGTTTTTGAAGCAACCATTGATATTGATGCATTCGAGCATTGATGCATTTTGTCCATGAAGGGGGGCAGGTGGGTTTCGAACGGTTTCAACACCAAGATCATGGCAGATGTTCCACACCCCAACCAACGAGGGCGGCGACTTCACCCGGGGCGACGGCACGGGCGGCGAGAGCATTTACGGCGCCAAGTCCGGGTGCCCCGAAGCCGCCGAAGCGGATGGTGGGATGGTAGACTGAGCGACAGCTTTCAGGGATGGAGAGTTTGGGGAGAGGACGCTACTAAGGGCTCCTGGCCTTACTAGGAACAAGGGCCTTACTACTAGTAACAAGAAGCTAGTAGAAACAAGTGCCTTACTAGTAGTAACAGGTGCCTTACTAGTAGTAACAAGAAGCTAGTAGAAACAATATACAAATAGAATTCAATTAGAATCTCATAAAATTACTAGCAAAGGAATCTACTAGGACCTTTTCTCGCGCGCGCGGGGGGGGGGTAGGAGCAAGGACGCTACTAGGGGCTCCTGGCCTTACCAAACTCAATTACAGGGCCAGGGGTGGAAGAGCATTGGCGCAAGCGCGGTATTGCTGAATCGATCGAAGTCTTCAATGGGATCCGCCCGTAGGATTTTACCAGCATCACTGATAGCACTGCGTCACGTTTCGGTGTTGGTGAACCTTGCTAGCTCCTGGCTGTGTTGGTTGTATAAGCCTTACTTGCCCACGTTCCCCTAACTCAATAGCAAAGCCCTCATAATCCGTGGGCTGTCAAGATACTCCAGTGCTCGTGGTCTGCATTCTTTTCCGAGGTTTAACGATGAGAACTTCAAGCTCAAGCACACTGGACCTGGCCAGGGGAGCTCAGCATGGCACTGCCCCCACTGGTTGTCTAGGGAGAATGTAAGAAAACAGGTCCTTAGGTATTTGTCATTATTGACCAAAAGATGACACATTCGGCCCCTGGGTGTACAGTAAGTAGATGTAAGTAGTAAATATGGCCAAACGATTCACTGATGAACCCCTGCAATCCCGACGGTCTTCAGCTTTGACCCAACCTTATCAGAAGACCTGCTCCTTTTATTTGCATGCTACCCTTCTGAATTCAAGGCATTTATCCCAGTTGGTTCAAGTTGTTTCCATCGAAAACTTCCAGTGACACTCTATGTGTAAGTTCACTTTTTGACCTTTGCCCAAGACTTGCAGCTTTCCGATCAACAGGAGTCACAAGTGCTTTTAACAGGCTCAACGAACACCACCATTCATGTCCCAAGTTCCCTTCAACGGACTGTGCGAACGGCGGGGGTCAGAAATCTTGCAAACCCCTAAGGCATCTTTGGAAGGAAAAACCCTCAGGCACGTTCCATGTATGACAATGTCCCTGCGTCAGGTATCCTGAGCATGGCCAACGCGGGGCCCAACACCAACGGCTCCCAGTTCTTCATCACCACTGTCAGGGTCCAAGAAGCGGAAAAGCCGCTGTTTTGTTTGATATCAAGAGGAGCTAATGCGAGACAGCAAGGGGATGAGAAGAGCTGAGATATGGTACTTGGCAATCATTTCGAGCCCGCCTTTGGTTTGCATGGCATGTTCGGTTATTCTCACAGTACTGGTACCATGAAGAAACTGCTTGGACAAATCCTCAATATCCCATCACACTTTGTTTGGGATTGGTGGAGACTGTTTGTTGTTTTTGACTGGGTAAGAAGGTCTAGTCACTGACACCCGTTCTTGGTCATATCCTCCGAGTTCCTCCAGTAGCGTCCTTGCTCCTAGTAGCTTCTTGATTGCGCGAAAAGGTCCTTGTAGCTTCCCTTGCTTTTAATTGCTAATGAAATTCTAACAAAAAAATCTAATTCTAATTCTATTTTCTTGTTACTAGTAGTAAGGCCAGGAGCTCCTAGTAGCCTTCCCCCGAGACGGAGTCGCTGGGCCAGACCGTTCCACCGCAAAGCCGCTCGCATTCGGAGTGCCACTGAGGTGAAGACTCAATGGTTGGATGGGCGACACGTCGTTTTTGGAAAGGTGGTTGAAGGAATGGATGTGGTGCAGCAGGCCAGACGGAAGAGGTTTTAGGAGAAGGGATCTGGGAGGGATGAAGAGAGGTAGAAAATGGGATGAGTGCAGCTATACTTGGGCAAAGGTCTCAAGTGTTCAACTTGTTTGTCCTTTATGTTGCAGCCGAGTTCAGCCATGTTGGAATGCTGCTTGAACCTTGACGACCATAGCCTTTGCACCTCGAATTACTTGTCACCTACATGCCCTGAGCGGACCAGCTCAATTAGTGCTGTCATGAATACAATCACAACGTGGCTGTAGATGGAAGACATCCTGCACCGCCTAGAAGAGCCTTATTGAAAATACCATGGTCTCCATATTGTGGGAGGTTTATGTCGGATTATGCAGGATTTCTTCCTTTAAAAGACAGACTGGTTAAAGCATGGTTTTTCTTCCGTCTTCGCCACCTCTTGCTGTTGGTTCCCGTTCTCATCCTTCTTAGTGGTGATCGCACGAATCCAGACGGCAGGGGATCTAACAGCTAGAGCACGACTCAATCAAGCTGTGTTCATGAAACGCTTCGTTTTGGCCATATCTGACCTGACAGCGGCCAGGTTGAGGCTGTGGGATCCCAAAGCGGTACTCCGTCCAAGAAGGCACTCCGGAGCTGGGCCGACTTTTCCGGCGGTTTTTTGTCCATCCATTTTGAGGCTCCAAAAGTAGGGCAGAAGAAAAAACAGAGTTCAATTCTGCTGGTTTGGCTTGCGCGTCTGATTTGTCCCCGAGCGACAGAACAAGGCTGCCATGATAGGAGAGAGAGATGCTTCTGTGAGGAAGATCTAGAGAAAATGGTGGGAACAGCACCATTTCCCTCGGCCATCCATTCCTTGTTGTTTGTTCTGTAGAATAGACAGTTTGTTTTTAGAATACACAAAGCACTTCAGACAATAGATTAACATTGCGTAAGACTCTCCGACCATTTTGGTTCTTCAATGAGATCACGGCTTTGTGATGCATTTTCCAATAAAGCCGTCAGTATTTGAATAGGGGACCCGCCAACCAATGCGCTTTTGGCCTTTGCTGTTTCATGCAGTCGACGACTTGCCGTAGCCACCCCCAGCTTAGCGTGAGGTAGACACAACAAAACTGAACCTTGGTGTTCAAGGTCTCCAACTATTCTTCATGTTCAAAGTGGACTTGCGTCCTGAATGAAAGAACTTCCATAAACTCTCCGCTACCCGATTGTGAATGGGTAACTTCAACTTCTGTAAAATATGGAAAGTTGGGTTATGAAAACCCAACTGTTTCAATGCACCACGATGACAAGAGTCCAAAGTCAAGGACATTCCCCAGCCACTTACAAAGCTGCACAAAAATCCTGAGTTGTGAACTCAAATCAGACTTCTGATGCGTTTGAGTACTTTCCTTCTTCCAGGGAGTCTTTGGAGGGTCTCCCAATTCTAATACACACCCATATGCCGGAGGTGGAGATCGTGGACAGTGGCCTCTTGGAGGGCACCCTGGAAAGCTGAGCCAATTGAGTTCAACAGGGCCCTGGCGTATTTTTCGCCATTTTGGAGGCCCCTGGTCGGTCAGCCGTTTGGCGGCAAAGCGGCGCAACGCGGCTGTCGCGGCGGGTTAGTGAAGTGGACGTGAAGCCGTTAGACTCTTGAGCAGGCACATGTCCTGTGGATCTCTTGTTCAGGGTATGGCGGTCGGTTCCGAACTGAGGGAATGCCGACTGATCATGCCAGAGACTGCCTCCGGACCAAGGGGGCAAATGCCAAAACATGCGTGAGGCAATCAATTCAGTTGGTACTTTTTTTTGCTCATTGAGATGTTGACACAGAGGTTGCTGTCGTCCTCGTTTCAGTGGCCTTGACTTGACGGCTCAAGCTACCGAGATCGCCAGCTTCGCAACTTGCGGTCTTTGGAGAAGCAGTTGCTGCGCTTAGGTGAGGATGAGTTGCGTTGCGGTGGAAGATCGAGCTTTTAGGAAGCTGAAACGGCTTTCAGCTCAGCTTATGTGCTTAGACTTTCCCAAGACTCGTGAGTGACGAAGTTGGCATGCCTTTGGAAGTGCCAAGTGTCCTGCCCGTTTTGTCCTTTTGATGTATGAGGGAAGAACTATTTCAGAACTGGGAGAATCGTGTGAGCCATGTTACTGCTGGGCCCAGCACCACGGGACAGAAGGGCAGAAGGTCCAGTGCCTGATGAATCCAATAAAGGTTGTCGGGTATGTTGCGCTTGAATTGAGAAAGAGGTGGTGAAAAACACATGGGACAACGAAATGGCAGTGGACTGTTGCTTGAAGGCCAAATCGCAGGTAGAGTGACAGGAGAGCCTTCAAAGATGCAACAAATGGTGCGACGGCTTTCAGCACTGGTCGTGACGATGCGGTTTGCCCCGTGTGGGGAAGGTTCGTTCGCTTGCTTTAGGCTAGGCCGACAAAGGTAAAGTGAAAGATTGGGCATTTGGCAAGTGTCAATGGCCCAAGTAGTTTGTCTGAATCCAACCTTCATTGAATTGTTTTGAATGACTTTAAAATTAGAAGTAACAAGTGTACAGCAAGTTGAACCGCGCAAAACGCACGGCTGTGCTTGTTAAAGTGCGAGCATGACAGCCAAGATCAACAGAAGAGCAGCATGATTGCTAAAAGAGTTTGCATTCCTGTGAAACCTTGGGCCACTTCACATGCCAGGCCCGCGCATGAACAAGTTTTCATGTCTGGTGCTCGTAATACTCATAGTGCTTATTCGGCTCGGTAGCTTTGAGCCACTTGTGATGTTGCACAGCACCAAAGACAGAAGTTGGATTCGGTAAACCTAGGCCCATTCTCTCGCACGATCTCTCCAAAAGATAACAGATTGTATGCGAGCTGTTCCAGAAATCTGCGATGGCCCCAAAGAAGAGACCAGCAAAAAGTGGAAGGACTTTCGGCCATGTCTCTTGGTGACCAGGTTGATCTTTGAATTTGGAAAGACTCGATCAACACTGGATTGAAGATGTATTTGTTTGTTCTTTATTTCTTTTGCTTCGATTGATTTGATCACTGGGATTCTTTTTGTGCACACTTTTTCTTGCCGAGGTGGTGCCCTTGGGGTCCACGTGCTTGGTGGCCAGACATCTTCAGAAGCTTGATTCCACAAACTGAGTGGAGGTGAGTGGAGGAGAGAGAAAGAGAGAGAGAGAGAGAGAAGGAGAGAGAAGGAGAGAGAAGGAGAGAAGGAGAAGAGTCAGGTGCATGTTTGAAGCTTCCAAACCTGTCAAAGACAACAGTGCAATTGTTGAACGGCTGTAGCTTTGAAGGATTTGCTGAACCCTCAGGAACAAAGGTCTACGAGTCTGCAAATTTCCCTTTGACTGGATGTATTCCACGCCCTACTTGGTGCGCCATGCGTTGACTGACAACTTCAAGGTGTTTCTTGACCCCAAGCAGCATCCTGGAGCAAAGTTGACTTCTGCTTCTTCATTTGCTTCTCTTTTTGCTTTCCCTTTCCTTTCTTTCTTTACCTGTTTTTTTTGGGGGGGGAATAGGTTTTCGTGTTTTGCTTGATTGAATCGTGAACTAAGGTACCAGATGAATCCCAAGAGTGATGCAGGCAAGGGAAGCAAGGGAAGCCGAAACAACAGGCCAACCTGAAAAAGCAATATAGATATATACACATTTAGAATATACAATATGTTGTGCGTTTTCTTATTTAATTTGAGGAGAAGTTTAAAGATAAGTTGGCCGAACTAACTAACGCCACCAATCCTCGCAGTCTGTGCATGCTTGGGCACATCATGACACTGCAGATGCGCTACCGTGTCAGCCATCTCAAGGACACCGCAATGTCGGCACGATCCACAAGACCTATCTCCGAATGCAGGACACGAAGGTGGGGCCTGATGAATAGCACGAGCATTTTGATGCAAACGTGCACGTCAGGTCAGGAAGGTGGTTTTCCCGCATCATCAGCTTTGGTCTGGGTCTCCTCAGTGCAAAGAGTTGCGGAAGTCGTTCCTCCGTGCAGCCCAGCGTTGTCGCCAAGTGCTCCGTGCGCCGAAGGGCGCAAAGGGCCCGAAGGGCGCTCGAACGCTCTTCGTGTGTGCCTTGACCATTCGCAGTAGAGAAGCCTTGAAAGCTGCAAGGGATGAAGATTGGAGCCTCACAGGACGTGGTTTCTTTGGCGCAATCAGTTGAATTTGTTGGCCTGAGTGACTTTGAGTGATTTTAGGATAGGTGACTGGGTGTTTTTGTGCAAGGCAAGTGTCCGATACCAGAAGAAGGTGGCCCTGAGCTGTGCTCTCGAGCGGAGATCTTGCGCCTCTTCAAGGTTTTGCAGGAGAAACTTGGCACCATACTCCCTCTTCGCCATTCAGTTGTCCAAACAGATTGTTCAAACAGGTTTGTTCTTAGCGAAGCTGAGCAAGATGCAGTTCAAAGTGCCATGTGCAAACGAGGAAATCTGCGAGACCGTTTCATTTGGAAGTGGTTTACCTTTTGACACCGAGTGCTGAAAAGAAGGAATCCCGTCCTTGCCGGAAACGCGTTCCTGAGCAAAAGGTTGTCACAGTTTTCTTGTTCTTAGAAGTGGCACCTACCACAACTCCCAAAGTGTCGGTTGATTCTTTGGGTCAATTGTGAAGTGTGAAGTCCTACACCAATGAGGTTTTTCAAAGGGAAAGTGGGAGGAGATCGTTGAGGATCACTGAGCTGAAGCTTGGCTGTGAGAGCTGTTTGTGTTGCATGTTGATGCCGTGAGTGCCAAGGTATTGCAAAGGTGACAATACTGGCTTGGTCTTCCCTGAGGATGAAGATATGCTGGCGTTTCACAACATAATCACAGAATCCGGGCAACGAAACTTTGTTTGCAGTGAGCCACTTCGTGTCAAATACTGTGCTGGCACGTACTGCTACACGCCTGCTTTTTCTAGAAAAGTGAGGATGCGGATGCCACACTGTGCTTTTCCAAGGAAGGTTTCCTCTGCCTGCTTTTGATGAGGATAGGGAGGCAAGTGTTTTAGTGCAAAGGGAAGTACAAAAAGAGGAGGCTCTCGTTGTCTTCGCAAGGCCACTGGCAAGGCTGTCAAAGCCCAAAGGAGCCAACAGCCACGGAATCAAGATTTCAAGCGTGCTTTGGCAATGCAAAAATATTTGGTGAAACGACAGATTTAAAGAATGAAATTGGTTCTTTCGGTTTCTTCAAAGGTCTTTAAGGTTTGGTGGTTATCCTTGTGCCAAGGCAAAGAATGGCTCAAGCAGAGGCTGCGATTTGTGCAGAAAAACCCGAAGGTGGAAGGCTCCTCTGCACACCAACGCTATGAACGGTACAAGAAGGTGCGAGAATTGAGTGACATCGCATTTTGTGCAACAGATTTGCCAAGAATATCGTTTCAAGACATTCTTGTCTTCATGTAATCACATATTTAGTTTCTTGTTTTTAATACACTGTTCAGAAAAGAATTCCGCTGCCAAGTTCTTCCTCAAGATGTTTTTCGGCCCAATGCTTGATCCCGACTCAGGCCAAAACTCTGCAAGAGTTCTTCAACCTTGGAGGCTGCAAAGGAGATTTCCACAATGATCAGGCACATGGCTTCCTCTCGCTCAGGTGAAGGAAAAGTGCCGCCCGCGCCGATTTTGTCTTCAGGGTCGCTTTCAGGTTGTACGTAAAAGCGCTTGGAACAAGGCAATGTGTTGGAATCGTGGTTGGATTGCAATCCAACACGCACTTGTGCACACTTGATTGGCCAAGCAAAATAGATCTGACAAAGTTGGCCCCAACTTGGGTGACTGACAGTTTGGAGAAAAGCTGGTAGGAAGACAGGTTGGGAGGAAAAATTGCAATTCTCTGCCTGAGCATCCAGATTGGATCGTGATTGCAGAGCACAACCCTCCGAACTCCAGGACAGACAAAGTGCCAAGCATGAACATCATGCCGGTGATTGCAGAGGTAGAAACAGATAAAGAAGAAGAAAATAAAGAAAAAGTGAGAACAGATGAGTGTCTTAATGTGCAGGAATTTGACCAGGGACCGGTGGTGGATTGCACAATCGCGTTAAAGAATGCAACGATAATGGTGTCTCATCCAACTAACCAGCCACACACGACGACGACGACGAGGATGACTACGATAAGCTCTGTCGCACTCGAGAGTGCATAGAGCGCCAAAAAATTCTGCACACCACGGCCAAAATGAGGGGCTCTGCAAGGCAACCCGTAGTCAAAAAATGCAGTTCAGCGATGTAAAACATCCACGTCACAACCATCAAGATCGCCGAGGACGCCACCTCTTCGGCCAAAGAAAGTGCCAGGCCGAGAAGAAGCCTTGCGGAAGCTGACGTTCTCGTAGCTGAAGGGTTGGAGATCGTTCGCAGCCAAAACGCCATCACTTGAGAAGGCGAAGTCCAATCTGAGGTGCCAAACCTTTTCCATTGCTTCAGATTCCAAGGGCTCACAACTATCCCCAAAACCTGACCCGCGTCTGAGCAGCAAAGGTATTCCTGGCCACAGTGTCAGCCAAGGCACTAACAGCCGGGTCATCACCCGTAGAGTTGCGGGCCTTCTTGGGACGTTCATTGGACATTGAATCCTTGGATTTGACATGTTCATCAAAGAGCTGCTGCACCTCATCCATAGCAGCCCCACGAAGATGCACAGTGAACTCATGCCAAGTCTTCTGCTTGACATCCTCAACACAGGTTGGGCAACAAGCTGTTCCGAACGCTCGAGAGTCTGGAGGCGCTTTTTGAGGTCCGCGATTGTCATCACGAATTGCACAACGAAGGGCAGGTCGCAAGTATTGAACAAAAATGCTGTCGTTGAACACATATCCTAATGACTTACACACGATTCCGTCCTCCTATGCACTGCAATTCAACATGAAGTTAACAAGAAAAGGATAAAAATACCAAGGGCTGAATGCACGTCTGATATAGAGAGGAGTGTTAACTTCATAACAAGGATAAAACAAAGCAAATCTGTCATTTGCCTATCTAACAACTCCCAACCTAGATCTAACCAACTATTATTTTCCAACCACATGCCGACCCATCCACCATTTCAATTGATAAAAGGAAATTTAATGTGCGAAATTTCCGTGTTACGGACATTCAAAACCTGTTCATTTACAACTCATCAATACACCACTCATCATATACCACTCATCAAGACACTACTTATCACACACCATTCATCATATATCACTTATTACGCACCACTTATTAATACAATACTTATTATACACTACCCATCATAAATTACTCATTAATACGCTAGTCATTATATACCACTTTTCAACTATTATTATTAGATATTATTTATTATATACTATTTATCATATACTACTTTTATTTTTACTTTCGGATATTTTTTTATATTTATTCTTATACTTACTCACTTTTAATTTTATCTTTATTTTTATACTTACACTTATTTTTACTCTTTTTTATTCTTATTTACTTTCTTATTCTCACTCTCATTTATTCTCCTACTTACCCTTATACCTTTTATTCTTGATTATATTTATTCTTATTTATACTTATTCTTATTCTTACTTATGTTTATTTTTATTTATATATTTATATTATCGTTATAATTATGAAACTTTTACTTTTATCGTTATTATAACTTCTGGATTTTAATACGTCTAGATTTGATATTTTTTGATGGGATATTTTATAATTGTGGATATATATATTATATATTGTATTAATGCGAAATAAGATTTATTTTATAGTATATTATATATAGATATTTAGCTCGTATGGTAACGGAGTTGGGAAGGTTGGCATTTTGTTAATTGGAGCTCCTAGACCTTTTTTACTTCGAGCCCGCCGAGCTTCTTATGCAACTGATGGGCTAGTGATTGCCTGAGATTACTTGGAGGAGTTGCGAGCACCGGGATGGATGAATTAAAGATGGTTGGCTTGGCCTAAGCGGTTATGGTTGCAGTAAATGCAGCGGCTTAGGCAGTTGTATCGAGCGGAGGAGTTGGAGCGAGTGTAGGGTGGAATAAAAGAAGGGATTTTGAAACGATATCTGGCAAAATTGATTTTAAAATTTGGAACCTTTAATCCAATAGATAGGGAATAGGAAGTTCTGCAATGGAGAGATTGGTATTGGACGGTCAAGTTATACCTGGTTGTTGTAAATTATGCCTTCCAAAATGAGTTGGAGAAATTCGAACTTAGTTTTGCAATAGAGGTTGATTGGAAATTGTTGGATAAAGATGATTAATGAAATTCACAAAGTGCTATATACCTGCTACGAAATTTGTACATGTATTTTCTTAAAGCGTAGCGCTTGCTACAAAATCTGCATATGGAGGTTTATAAGGTGATATAAAAAGTTGTATTGTCGTGAAATTTATATATTAAGAAATAATTGAGGAATTTTAATTTAAATATCCTTATAAAGATTTTTCCTGCTCTATAGAGTTCATACCATTTTGTAAGTGATATATGGGTTAGGATATATATAATATTTGGTCTTTCTGGAATTGTATTTGGATATTTTTTGCTTTTGGGATCTTGAAATTTCTGAAATTGTAGGGGCTGGAAATTTTTTGGATTTATTCTTTAAGATTGGATTTCTATATTCATCTGCTGATGGATAAACGCTTCTGTTTCATTCATTATTCTGCCCGGTTGGAAACTTGTAATAGCGCTGTTTGCTTGAGCTTGTCTGCAGCACCACCTATTGGATCTGTAGGTGAAGCGGGGCTGCGCGTATGCTGCCTTAATTACCAATGACATTTGGAATTAGGTCGGCATATTTTGAAAACCCAATTAAGTGCCTGTACCACCTCACGATGATACCGACTTTGGACCTCACTGGGACTTTTGCTTTGATCATGGTTTTATTACATCATCATCATTCCAAAATGTAAATTTGATGGAATATTAGATCCTTTGATGAATCCGAGGTTTTTAATGTATATCATGGATTATTTGTAGATTGCGCATTCATTTTGGGTGTTATAATGATTATATTTCCTGGAAAGAAGAAAATAACCTAGGGTACGAATGGTAACCAGATCCTTGGATCCTGCGAACAACATTATGTTTGGAATATTAATTCGCACCACCATCGGTGAAAAGAATAAAGGAAGAAAAGTTACGGGACGTGATCGGTATCGTCTCATAACCGTCGTTCTGCCGACCTTCCCCGGATTTTTTGTGATAGGTGCAAGTAATTCAAATAAAATTATTTCGAATAGTAGTTTCGTGATGCGGAGGGATTCAACACTTTCATAATACTTTATGAATCTCGAAGTGCAGATTTCGTATTGTTTGTACTTATAAAATTGCTTCAATTATTTCATTTTGTCCTTGCCAAATTTAAACATAAGGTAAGAAAAATAATTGTGTAAGAACAAATTAAATTCACAAATTCAAAATTTTGGATGATCAAAACATCAATTAGATGGATATTTCATACAAGATTGATTTGGAATCTAAAAAAATATAATATAGAGGTCTATACATGTAATGAACACATAATATAAGATTTCGTTGGCCAGGCCGGATCATGCTGGGAATCGTCCCTCCGATGTCAGTTTTCCCTTGAAGTCGGATTTCGTGGAAGGTTTTGTGAACTTCCATGTGAAGATTTCGTCCCAGGCGTAGCACTTCGTAAACCTCCTATGCACTAATATACTCATTTGTGGCGAGATCTGTTCGTTCTTGTGACATCGAAAAAATCACTTGAAATTGAAATCTGGCTGAATTTTGGAAAAAAAGCATGGAGGTTCACAAAGTGCTGTGTCTGCATGGAGGGTCACAGACAAAGATGAGAGGTTGAAACGAAAAGATAAAAATGGCAAGACCATTGGTGTTGAAAAATTCAGCCTGAAATGACAAGCTTCACTCCCTTCTCTCAAGTCGAAACTCACTGGCTCTGGCGCCTAAACTTGCATCGCCACCGCCACTTGTAGTGCTTGTTGCCTCGTGATAAATGACGTGGTTTGCATGCCCGCCCATCTGAGCTTCATACTTCCCACCAGTAGTGCCATCAAACAGCTTAAATCCTGTTCTGAGATGTCCAAGTTGCGGCATCGGCGTCGAAGGATCACCTCCCTGATCTTGCTGTGCGAACTTCCTTCATTCAAAGTCAGGTTCGAATGTGTCTTAATAAGACCAGAAATTGTTGGAGGAGAACTGCCTATTTCATGTCTGGCGACAAATTCCCTCTAAGGCGCTCGCACTGCACACAGTGTGAAGTGCTTCCATGCCATTGAACTTCTCGACATTCTTGATAACCGCTTCCGAGCCTAATCGGAAAATGATGGGACCATCACCCAAGCCTGTCTTGCACACAGTGTTTTCTGTCTTGGCCACGAACTTTGCACATAGGGTTTTCATACTGTGATGCTTCGTTTGCCCAACGGTCGGAGGTCGGTAAGTGGAGGACTCACGATTCGGTTGAACTTATCCTCAAGAGCTATGGCCGAACCCAATCCGTCGTTGCCCAATCGAGCGCCGAGGCTGAACTGATCAGTGTAGTCGAGATGACGAATGAAAACCCTGGGTCAGAAAATCGCGTCGTTTGCCGTGTTCTGGTGAGTTTCCGGAAAGAGTATTAAAACGATAGGCGGTTGATCCCTTGTTCGACGGATCAGAAGAATGGCAAGGAGAAGAGTCAAGCCGGATCTTCGAACTCGTTGACCGCAAAGCCCACGCAAGATCATAAAGTGATCCAGACGGAAGGTTTTGTTGGTGAAAAGGGGTCAGCAATGGAGATGCAGGAGTCGGAGATGGTGTTGGCCAAAAGTGGCCGAGACCGACTTCGAAGTCCCAAATGGGACGCGCTGCTTGCTTGTTGAGCATGGCGAGTGGCGGAATCAGTTGACCTGAAGCGAGAGTGCACGATCCTTTCTCTCATGGAGGCTCCAGGTTCGCTAGGCTCAGAGGTGAAGGTTCTACTTACAAACGGGTATGGTTCACAACGAACACTACCAAAGATTACAATCATGACAGTTTGTCTGTCACAAGCAGTATGGAGGCCCCCATCTCGAGAATCACAAGCAGTTAGGATGTGCAAAAACTTTTCTCGTGAACTGTTTCTTCAACCTTGCGAATAGCAGCACAATCCTCATCGGTGAGG